TCGTGGCTTCGAGTGTTTGCTACTCTCCGACTGCACGGGAACGACGGCATCGGATACCCAGCTTTCTGCTCTAAAGCAGGTGAAGATGCAACACGGCGTCTTCGGGGCCGTGGCTACCAGTGACGCACTGCTGACGGCCGTCTCCCAGCTGGACGCGGCCCAGTCTTCCAAGCGCCTAAAAACCACCTAGCTAGTATTATCCCCACATAGCCCCCTGCACTTGTTCTAGTCATGCAGGCCCTACGATAAACCCCGGCGAAACCAATGGAAACCCTGTAATACGCCATCGACACCATCTTCTAACTACGAAAGCCCTTACATTAAACCTTTTGAAACCTGCAGAAGGCCAATGAAGCCCTTTCGAGGTACCAAAACGTCTTTAATCTGCTGTGAGCAGGAGTTGTGGAAAATCTAGCTGCTGAGGGTTTCGAGTGCCAGTGCCTTCTTGGGTTTGAGGGTTCTTAGGGGCTTGGGGTTTAGGGTTTACGTAGGGGCTGAGGGCTTAGCGTTCTCTTCATGCGATCCTTCCCAAACAGCTCACAAACTTGCTCCACCCTCCACTCGAAACATATCTGAAGTAGGGGCTCGCAAAGATAGAGTTTTTCCATGTTTTTCCTTGAGGGCGCTTGTTGTCAGAGCATCATTATAGAGCAATCATGAGCAATCTCCTTTGCTGGGCACCGCGGGTCCCGCATGTCGAGAAGGCCTAGCTCCATGAAGTTCCTCGAGTCCTAAGACCAAGAATACAGAAAGACCCCAAGCCTAAAACCCGAGAGCGCGAACTTAAATTTTAAACCCTGAAACCCTTGTTTCTGAGGCCGGAGAGTGGGTCGACCTCGAGTTAGAGAGGGCTGGGATCCCTTCCGAGGACAGGAAGGGCTGCCTTTTTGGGGCTTCGAGGGTTCTACAGTAAGGGGTACTGGACCCAGGATGCTACGAGGGTTGCTTTAAGAGGTAAAGGTTTCTAAGGGGGCTATTAAAGGGCAATGTAAGAGAGTGACCATAGGAGACAGCGCAGGGGTTTCTGTAAGTAATACGAGGCCTTGTAGGGTTTACTATAAGGGACACCATGAGGGGTGCTGTGAAGCATGATAAGGGTTACTAGGCTTCACGCGTCTCGACCCATTTAAGGGCCTGGAAAGTTTGGCAGCAATAGTTTCGCTATGATTCTATGAAGCCCTCTTGTTTTATGCGATCGGGATCACCCGGCAGTTTGAACAGGCCTGGATGCAGAACGGTGTTTAGGGCGTGGAGGGCAGTATGGTTCAGGGACATGCAGTTTTGAGATTGTTGAGTTGTTGAAAGACTTTCTGTGGCAAGGGCGTCTTGTAAGAACAGCACTGGAGGTGGTACTAAACAGGCTCCATGCTAAGCCTTTGCGGCTCTGTTTCGTCGCTCCAAGCTTCAACAAGCTACGGCGAGTCTTTGGAACAGGGTTGAACTCCACAGTCACAGGGAGCAGAATTTCAACATTGTTTTGCCGGAGCAGAACCGCACTATAATCCCTACATTGATCCGCTCAAAAGGAGAAATCTGGGTATGTCTTAGAGCCTTAGACAGCCTTGAACCCCGCCACACCTTTGCGAGCACCTTGTACAAGTCCCATAGATCTCAAAGGGCACTATCTATGCCCCATAGATGCTGCGCAGGTTCAACCCTGAAACTCAAGGAGCCCTCATTTGGCAGTGTCCCCGCGTCGCCAACTGCAAACCTCAAATCCCCAGCACCGAATATAGGGGCCTCAATAGTTACACATGCTGTTGTGGTGGCTTCTTGCTATAATCATGGTATAGTGGACCCCAAAACCCCATTCCAATTATCAGGGCCCCTACATGGGTGGTTGTCAAAATTCTGGTCCTTGTTTGGGTCCCTAATGTAATACGGCACCGAATATTTAGGGTTCCCAAAAAGGAGCCATAAGTTTGACAACTACCCATATTACTCCCTAAACTCCGAAAGCGCTAAGACCTCGAGCCTTCAACTCGACCCACTGAGCCATTGCGAAGCACCCAAAGCCCTGAAAGATCGTCTTTGATGAGCAGGAGCCTTAACAAGTAGAAGAAGGTTTTGGGGCCGATAATTGATATAATCAACCCCCAGAATTGTATAGGTAATTATGGGTAATGATTAAGGTTGGTACTTTTATTTGGAAGTGTGTTCTGGCCATTCCTTAGCAGTATGAGTTTCACTCCTCAGACCCCGAAGCACATGCCTCGCCTGGATTGTCCGAGCGTGAAAGCCTTAAACCCAAAACCCTTAAGCCCCTAAACCCTTAACGCTCTGAACCCCTAAACCCCTGAACCCTAACGCCCCTAAGCCCCGAAGCAGCCTAACCCTAAACCCCTAAGCACCCCAACAGAATACATAAACCCCTAAACCCTAAGCTTACCTTGCTTACCCTTGGATAGTAGGGAATGAAGGACTGGGTACAATTATGACCACTCTTACTACCATTCTTCCATTCCCTACTAACCAAAAGTAAACCCTAAACCCCTAAACCCTATAGATCCCTTAAAGGATCCCTTTAAAGGAATCTATTACTACCATTCTTCCATTTCCAAAGCTAACCTTGTCCAGGTGTGTGACGGGCTGCCGTCGAACTGGGGCAGATCTTCGGACTTCGAGTCGGAGTTGGACGCCCAAGATGAGCTCAGGGTTTGGGGGGTTTAGGGAAAAGGGTTATAGGGTTTCGAATGCCTGGGAGAGAGAGAGAGGGAGAGAGAGAGAGAGAGAGAGAGAGAGAGAGAGAGGGAGAGAGAGAGAGAGAGACAGACAGAGAGCGCTATAGGGTTTAGGGTTTTAGGGGGTTTTGTGTTCAGGGCTTCAGTGTTCTATACTTGAACAGATGGTGCAGTGATTGCGATTATTCTTTTCTCTCGAGGGATCTTCAGCTTAAGCTTCAGTCCGTTGTCTTCTGCAGCTTTTCCTTCGAACTCTTGCCTTAAAACGGGGCTGCGAGTTTCGTGGGCGCTGGCCGGCACCTCAGTCCGTGCTGAAAAAAGGGCTTTAGGGTTTGGGGTTTCAATCAAATTGTTTAGGGTTCAGGTCCTAAGTTTTAGGCGGTTTTGGGTTTTGCCTTTTGCTTCTGCTGGGTTGATTTTGATTCGCTGGTTGATTAGACCTGCTAAACAATTTCTAACTATCCTGGGCTTGAGGGTTTAGGCGATTTAGGGGTTGGGATTTAAGGTTTAGGGTTTGGGGGATTTAGGATCGAAGTCTCAGTGCTCGTTAGTATTGACTTAGTACTATTACTGCTTTACTGCCACTATTGTTACCCTTACTGCTAGGACCAGATTTACGACGACTACGACGACGACGACGACGACGACTACTACTACTACCTACTACCTACTACCTACTACCTACTACCTACTACCTACTACCTACTACCTACTACCTACCTACCTACCTACCTACCTACTACCTACTACCTACTACCTACTACCTACTACCTACTACCTACTACCTACTACCTACTACCTACTACCTACCTACTACCTACTACCTACTACCTACTACCTACTACCTACTACCTACTGCCTACTACCTACTACCTACTACCTACTACCTGCTACCTGCTACCTGCTACCTGCTACCTGCTACCTGCTACCTGCTACCTGCTACCTGCTACCTGCTACCTGCTACCTGCTACCTACTACCTACTACCTACTACCTACTACCTACTACCTACTACCTACTACCTACTACCTACTACCTACTACCTACTACCTACTACCTACTACCTACTACTACTACTACTACTACTACTACTACTACTACTACTACTACTACTACTACTACTACTACTACTACTACTACTACTACTACTAGCTTTGTTCGGGCTCCTTCCTTTCTTTCTTGGGTGGATGGGTGGGGGGGGGGTGGGTGGAGGGCTGTTCGGACTAAAGGTTTTCGCCTTTAGATATTGTAAGGGCGGCCGCAGCATGTGTTTTTTGGATTGAGGAGACCATTGCTGGATCGTTAATGTACGAACCTGATTAAGAAACCCTGGGGCTATAACCCCAAAATACTAGGACTTAGGACTCAATATGAAGAGCCTGAATACATTAAGCCTAAGGTTTCTTAATCAGGTTCCTACGTTACTCAGGAGAACTTCGGGTCGGTTAGGGACTTAGACTTAGACTGTAGGGACGGTTAGGGAAAAAAAGGTTTATGGCTTGCGGCTTTGTCTTGCTCCACAAGCTCTGTTTTAGAAACCGGACTGCGTAGATGAGTGCATGGAAACAGATTGTCAGACAGGTGGATAGCTAGACAGACAGGGGGTAGATGTTTGTATGTATCTATCCATCTATCTGTCTATCTACATGTATGTATATGTGCATACAGATATGTGCCCACAGACGTTTAGGCACCTAATCTGGTATGAAATTTAATCTACCCATCTACATACATACACACACATTTAAACAAGTAGATAAATAAACAAATAAATAAACATATATATATATATATATATAAATGAGGGTTGATCTAAACCCCCTTCTCTTAAGCTCTGCAGAGGCAAATCATTCATATTGTCACTAGTTGAACTGCCTTCAAAATTTGGTGTGAGCAAGAACGGGCGCAAGAGCGTGCAAGTGCAGTAATATGGCTATATATCACCACGTAATAGAGCTTTCCCCATGGTGCATTTCAGATCTTGGAACCTTGCTTTTTGAGCCACCATCCCGAAACCAAAGCGCTTGCGATGCCCGATGGGTCATGTTAAATTTCAAGATACTGAAGTTCACAATCATACAAGCTGCAGGTATGAAAAGCTCGTGCGCGCGCAAGAGACACGCAAGAGTGCGCAAGGGCGGGCGCAAGGGGTATTAAATGGTCATTCATCGGAACAAGAACATCGATCAACCCCCATATACACCTATAGGAGCATGTGCTCGTCCCTCAGTTTCTTTCTCTCTCTCGCGCTCTCTTTCTCTCTATTTCTTTTTCAGCGGGCACATACCACACGTAAACCATAAGGCCTGGGATCAGAACCCCAAAAGCCAAAGTGCAGTAGACATAGTTGACGACGCCGTGCCAAGGCCAGAGCCCAACGCGCCCGGCTCAGGTTTCTGCAGTACTGGGGCCTCGCTCCGTGGCTTTAGGGTTCTACCTATAGTCTCCATTGTAGTTGCTTTCATAGGAGGCCAAACGGGGTTTCAGCCTATGGGGGTTTGGTAGGGATTAGGGTTCCCATAATAGGGTTCATATCAAGGAAAACCTTACCCCAAGAATCTTAAAACCACCCTTTTGCCCTCCCATCATCCTTTTTGGGGTTACCTTTTAGGATCCTCAGTATAAAAACTGCTACACCAAAACAAGGAACAACAATGGAGACTATAGGTAGAGGCAAAGTGCATGGTTTAGAGTTTTGGGGTTCGTATTTAGGGCTTCGGGTTTCGGAGATTTCACGCCTTGGCTTCCGTGGTTGAGGTTTATGACTTTGCGTTGTCTCATCCCCTGGGGATGAGGATAACTTCTATAGTCTCCTTAGGGTTTTGTTTCATTTTTGTTCATATTATAAAACCGAAGAAAATATTAGAAACATGATTTTTATTATGGTTCTAATAAGGGGGGTATAGACTTTGGGTTTGGTAGTTCCTGCGCAACATTAGCAGTAGCATTGCGCCGACCTAATCATAGCTGTAGGGGTAACTGCAAATCCGGGGGTAGCCTGTTGCCCTAAACTCTAAACCCTAATCATAGATCTGATAAGGTGTAACTGCGCAATCCGGGGTGGCCTGTTTGAGTATTCACTGGGGAGGTGAAGAGCCCGGGTATCCTAAGAATCCTGGCAGAGGGGCTGTTCCGGAGTTCGGCTTTGGGTTATATTGTGCCGCGACTTGGTCGGTTTAGGGTCTAGGAACTTGGTTTTCGATATTTCGGCCGATCGCATGCGAGTACGTCTATAATCACCTGTCCCGGCTAGAAAGGAAGACTTTTTCCGGTGTTTCGAAGAAAGTTCTTTTGATCGAGGAACCCCGAAGCACCTTTCTAAATGAGCCCCAGGCCCTCCGATGATTCCAAACAATACGAGCAGGAAGAGTAGGAGGAGTAGGGTGTGTAGGAGGCCTAGGAGCAGGAGTAGGAATAGGAATCGGGCGGAATAGGAATAGTAGCAGTCGTCGTCCAGCACAACAGTAGTGGGCATCATCGTTCTCCTTCTAGTGTTAGCAGAATCATCTGCAGAAAATACAGCCACTCCGACCACTCCAGTAAATACTGACTAGTGCGAGTAGCACTGCCACTTCTGCTACCACTTCTCAGTGCCGCTACTACGACCACCACCACTGCCGCCGAACTGGTATACTTATACTGTTGCTGTATGGGAGTTTCCGAAAATCGGGGACCTTAATATAGTATATCATACTATAATTATTATAAGGACCTCAAAATAAGGTACCCCTAATTTTCGGAAACTCCCGTTTAGCCGGCTGTGCATCTTGTCGTTGGAGCCCGCGTTGTCAGGTGGGTGGTTGTCAAAATTATGGCCCCGTTTGGGGTACCCTTATTATGAGGTGCCGTATTATAATAAGGATCCAAAAGGGGACCATAATTTTGACAACTACCCAGGTGATGTGGCCGCATCCAACGTTGCACGACCATCGTTCCCGGCCCTTCGTGCGCCCCAGGTGGCCTTGCACAATGCCGGGTCTTTTGCGAACATACTCTTGGGGCCTTAATATTTACCTATACTATTTTGGGGGTTCCTTATTATAAATACAGTAGAATATACCCCAAAACCCTATTCTAATTATTAAGGCCCCTCTATTAGGATGCAGTGTTCAGGCTGAAAGCGATCAGGGAGTTGCCAGGGGCTTCGGAGGATTGGGATTAACAGCCGCAGCATTCCCGGGGGCTTCAGCTTGCAGTTTGGGGAGTGTGGAGTTTGCAAAGCGTAGGTGTAGTCTTGTCTCGGCAGGGCTTTAGACTTAGAGGCTGTGGATGAATGCTTCTCAATCTGTGTGGCTACCGTCGAGGTGGCGATGGTTCGGTGCTGCAGCGCATGATGCAGTTACCTGAACTCTAGATCCTAAACCCTGCACAATCTGGCAGACTTGTTTCCTTCCTTGAAATTAGCAACCTTAGGGGGGGATCAGCACAAGGTCCTGTAAAGGGATCTGTAAGGGTACCATATGGCTATAAGGGTTTAGGGGTTAACGGTTAAATGCCCAAATCCCAAAATACCACCCGATGCCCGCGCATTGCCCCTTAAGCCGCCCTAATCCCAGAGACTCCAGTATCTCGTAATTAACGAACCTTCCGTAAAGCATATTGGGGGTCATGCTATAATTTAAGGTACATTCCTTAATTAAGGGATATTGGAGTCCCCGAAACCTTAGGTTCCTATGATCCCTTGTAGGAAACCCTTATGCATCCCTTTAAAGGGATATTGGAGTCTCTGGGAACCTTCCACTGCTCCGGTGAGGAGTGCGCCTGGCGAGGAGTCCGAGTCTGGTGGGATTCTTAGGGTATCAGACGAAGACCCCCCAGAGAGCCCAATACCCCTTAATTAAGGAATATACCTTAAATTATAAGGGGATTCATATTATGATTTAAGCTATATTCCTTAACTAAGGGGTATTGGGCTTTCTGGGCCTATACCTTAACCCAGGGTATCAGACGAAGACCCTAGAAGGGGCCCCCACCCTGTAATAGTGACTATAAGGAATATATTAGGGCCCTAGTATATTCCTATTATACCACTATTTCAGGGTCGGGGCCCCTGCTAACGAAGACCCTATACCTTAACCCCAGATAAATTTTTAAGGACTTATATAAGGAAATCATAGTAGGGAACCTTAACAAGGTAGGTTCTTCAGGGTCCAGGTATGCCTTAAACCCTAAGCCCTAAACCCTTCAGACTGTGACAGGCTGAATGGCTAGTGATACTTGGGTTCCTTGTAAGTGTTGTTCTACCGAAAACTTACCCGGAAACCTATTTGTTTGGGCCCCTGCATTACTAAGGTTTAGGTCTGTTTCGGGTGTGGGAGCAGAAATCAAGATCCAGATCAGGATTTGGAAGCCAAAGTTCAAGGTTAGGGTTTGGGATTCGTGTTTGCTGCAGGGGCCTGTTTGAATACTTCCAAATATTATCCCAAAGGTTTCCTTATGGTAGTTATAGCATGGCATACACCCAAAAGCCCTATTCTAATTATTAAGCCCCCTACAGTCCTACAGTAAACCCCCCGTCCTACCCCTTCTAGTAGCCTTAATAAGGGAGAATTCCTTAAAGAAAACCTATTCTCCTCTTGGCCTCTGATCGGGCGGAGTCCTGAAGCCCAAGAAGGATGCGGGTTGGAGGGATGAGTGCATGGGCCTCAAGGTTTAGGGATTCAGGGTTTAGGGTTTGGAGTAGTAAGTAGCACTATGCTTATGAACTTGGGTAATCTGTTTTTAAGTTATTTGTAACCTAGGTCCAATAAGCCCAGAACCCCGAAACCCTAGTCAAGGCACTGACGCAGGTATACCTACAACTCCGGACGAGCCTGCTGCAAGTAGCCTGGCAAAGCAAGCACACGCTCTCCCTGTAGGCTCTGAGCACAGAAGCCTGAAAAATGGACCCTGGACCTGTGAGCACAGAACTTAGGTCTATGGCGGCAAATGCGAAAGCAACTTAACAATAACAGCAGCCGGCAACATAATTTTTCGTGAGCTGTGTACGTTGTCAGAGAGGTAGCCATATCTTCCCACCTCGCTACGGCGTTACGGCTCGAGCCATAGTGCGGACAAGCGAAACCATACCGCAAACGACCGCAACCATGTTCCTTGTACAGCTGCTGCTCTTGGCCACGATTGGAGCTGGGCAGCAAGACCAAGCCGATGAATGCGCAGAAACGCTCCTCGTCCAGTTGTCGCTGAGCACGCAGCCCAGGGAGCCCCCGGCAGCCTCCAAGGAGCGCGACTTGGTGTTCACACACGTGCCATACAACTTCGGCCACACGATTGAGCAGATAGCCTTCGCAGGCAGCGGGAACATGGAGCTCTACGCCTCCGCGCAGGTCATCGTCGATGGCTCGCCGCTGCCGGTGGAGACGAAATTCGGCATGCTCCAGGCTTCGATGCAGCCACAGGGAGAAATCTGGGGACATATGAACCCAGCGCTACACGGCATTTCCAACGTAACAGGTTGTCCTCTCTACTACACGCCTCCAAAGCATTGGCCAAAGGATCTTGCCGATTGGTACTTTGCCGGGAAACAGACTTTCGGTGTGCTCCGAGATCCTTACGAGCGTCTGGTGGCGCAGTTTCGAGGAAATATTCCTGGATATGGCGGAGCGTTTCTAGGTTCTCCCGAGTAGTTGCCTTTTACCGTTTCTATTGAATAGTCAGGTGAAGGGTGCGTCTTGTTAGAGGACCTGGGGAACCAAGGTTTCCAAACCATGATGCTTGCAATGTGGATGCGGCTGTCAGGAAGATACTGCAACGGTACCTGGATGGTGATGCATCCAGGCGGTTGTTGATCATAACTCTTGCTTGTAGCATAGCATGTAGTCAAGGCGTGCAACAACAGCCGAGGTATATGCCGAGGACTGCACCTACGTTCCGCAGGCAGAATACTTTGACCCTCCCCACGGCATAACGGTGCCTGTGGACAACCGTATCTTTCCTACATCTGCCAATGATGTGCTGGCAGAGCACGGGTACACAAACATGCACATTGCCACCGGTGACATCATGCATGTTAGCGAATGCTCGGAAGCTAGGCCGCACAGCGGTACCCTTTTACACTTCTGTTGTGGGATTCGCACTGAAAGTAGGAAAAAGGGACCCCTTATCATCAAGGGAACGTCGCGGAACCAAGGAGGTGTGGGCCGGAGATTTAAGCTGCGACACTAAGAAGCTCATTCGAGAGGTATATGCACGCGATTTCGAGCTCCTATGCAAGCACTTTGGGTATTGTGATGCCGGTGAGAACGTTTGTTTGACAGAGGTTCCGGACATGTGTCCGAGCAACATGTCTCAGAAGATAGCAAGCGCTACCTACTGTGCATAGGTGTGGAGGATGATTGCCGGATGTGCCCGTAGATGCGCACAACATGTAACATGCAGTCTTTCCACACGTTCAGACAGGATTACAGTCATTCGCCGGCCCTTGGCCCAAAAAATTGCGTGCGCAGGCAGGTTGAGTCGTCCGTAATGCGCCGATTCAGGGCACTGAGGCATACATTGCCGAACTGCGACAGTCTAAAGCTGAAGTTGCATAGGTAGCTCAGGAATTTAATGGCACGAGTTACCCAAACCCTAAACCCTAAACTCTAAACATCCCTAGACCCTAAACCCTGGATACGTAAGGCCTACAAAGAGCGAGGGAGCGTCGCTCTTGTAGTAAGGGCTCCATAGGAGCCCCTCTAATTTTCGAGATTGTCCTAGTAATAGGGGATATTTTGGTGGTTCCTTATTACAATTCTAGTATAGCGGGCCCCAAAAACTTAGTTTCCTTACAATACTGGAAACCTCAAAATTCCTTGAGGTTAAGCTGCCAAAGCAGGTCCTCAAGACTCGTAGGGTCATTTTAGCCAAGGGTAAACGGAGGGACCCTTAATAAGGATTTCTAGGTATATATCCTTAATATAGCTATTATATACCCATTATATAGCCCATGATAGGGTAAGGGTCCCCATTAAGGGTCCCTCCTTTTCCCCTTTTGATTTTAATGCCAGCGTATCGTGGCCTTTCAGGTGATCCGGAGGCCGACGACCGCAGGCTGAAAGAGAACCGCCGCAGGTCGGCCTTCTGACCTCAAATAATGTAGGGGCTTCACTTTAGGGTTTAGGGTTTAGGGTTACCAATTTGATTACCAGTACTGTTCTGGGGGTTCCTTATTATGAGTATAGTAGAATGGGCACCAAAACCCTGTTCTAATTATTAAGGCCCCTATATTAAGATACTAGGACCCAGAGTAAGCCCTTATTCCCTTTATTAGGGTTCAAGTTCCCTTATAACCCCTTTAAACCAAAAAGGGCACGCTTTTTATTCCTAGGTTAGTCTTAGGTCTAGAATATGGGGTCTGATTAATCAGTAGCTTGTAACTGCATGCTGTTCCTTCGGGTACCTGAATGTAGCAGTACTAGTGCCCGCCGACCCAAAACCCGATTTGCTTTCTCTATGCTCAAGGCTGTTGGAAGCTTCTCCAAGCGGTCTGGCTGTGAGGGTCAGGAAGGGCCATTATACTTCGGGTTCAACCAAGGTTGCTGGGAGATTTGCTAAGCACCCTCAAAGCTTCTGGAAGGGGCGGGCTTGGTGATCTGGCTAGACTTAAGCCCAGTAGTAAAATGGGCTCAGGGTACTTCAATCCCGAAACCCTAAACGGCCGTAAACCCCTGAAGTACGGTACTTCAGGGGTAAAAGGCCGCTTAGGGTTTTGGGTCTTAAGGTTCAGCTGTTGTTCTTGCTGTAGGGTTGCAGGGCTTGGGGGGGGGTTCTTGAAAGTTGGTGTATGGCTTTTCATGGAAGGAATGCTCCAAAGTATAACCGTCGGGGCTGTTGGGAAGGATTTGTGCATCGGGCTTCGGCGTTTGATTTTTCCTTCCTTGAACTTCTGGACGTTAGGACCATGAGGATCGAGGAGTTTGGCGAAGCATGCTTGGCGAACAAGAGTCGAAAGCCACTGAATGGGCTTCTCAGAGACACCGGTATCCCTGTTAATTCAGGATCCCTATTCTTACTCTAGCTTATGGAGCATGCTCTTTTTTATTTGGGATGCATACCATAAACTACTCTAACTTCGGGAATATATACACATGTATATATATATATATATGTATGGATGTATATGTATGTCTGTATGTATTTTCACACACATGCACATGCACATACATCTTCGTCTACATCTACATGTACATGTACGTGTACATACCCTGCATTTTTCGTGGCAATGCCACAGACGAGGGACCCTAAACCCTAACCCCTAAAACCTAAACCCTAAACCCCTAAACTGCATGGTAAGGTAATGTCGTGTTCATTCCAGCTGGATACAGGGGAAGGTGAATTTCGGTATCCTTGTCTCTGGGTGAATTAAAAAGGCAAAGCCTCAAGGCTCAGCTCTTAACCCAGGATGTTGGGTGGGCAGTGGATAAAACCTCAAAAGCGTAGGGCTGGTAAGGGGACGCCTGTTTCTAGAGCACCTCTTACTTAAGGGTTTTTATCCTCTCATTCAATAGTCGAGGGGGCTAGAACCTGAGGTTTTATCCATTGCCTGCTCAACATCTTGGGAGGAGGACAAATAGAAAGGTTTCACATTTGGACCTGCATCATGTCCCCAGCCCTATTGCTCAAGCAGTTTGACTTTGCCTCTCGCTCGCTCTCCTTTCGTCCACAGACATGTCCGCATTGGCTCACATGTTCCGCAGGAGCTGGCTAGAGTAAGGTGAACTTTGAGCACAAGCATTCGACGTTTGAGCATGGGCTATGGGAAGGTGAAGTTTAGGGATAGCCTAGAGTAAGGTTAACTTTGGGCACAGGCATTCGAAGTTTGAGCGTGGGCTACGGGAAGGTGAACTCTAGGGATAGCCTAGAGTAAGGTGAGCTTTGTGCGCAGGCATTTGAAGTCTAAGCATGGGTTACGGGAAGGTGAACTTAAGCCCTAAGCCAAAAGAAGCTGAAGCTGAAGCATGGGGTAGAATAAGGTTAAAATTTGCATGTTCTGGCCAGGAGCTTCAGGCTTGGTCCGAAGACGAAGCACAGTGCGGCTGGACCTCGTGCGGCTATCTGCTTGGGCGCTGGTGGGACTATTCTCCCGACCGTGAGGACTGGGTCGACGAAGATGGAGTTCCGCTCTTCCTGCAGACAGCTCCACCACTTGCAATGACATTTGCGCCGGTACCGCTCACAAATCATGCCACTCCTCACTTCCACCTGCCTTGCCACCCTTCACTCCGACCGACACTGCCCGTAACTAAGGGGGTCCCCAGGGACATGACTTGAATGGGGTCATTGTTCAGGGCGTTTCTGCTTTTGGTGAAACACGGCACTCCGCCTCAGCCATGGGTCCGCATAAACTGCTGGCCGAGTCTCCCCGCGCTGGTGGTTGACAGCTGCTGGAAGATGACATTGTTGCAATGGTTGCTGGTGTCCAGAAGAAAGCCATGAACAAATCATAAAAAGTGGATGCTGGCCACTGATGCAACGCTTTTACTCTGGCTTGCCTTACTGGCGCTCATAGTGAGATGAGTCCAACGAAGGACCCTGTGGAACTTTCAGTCCATGGTGTGTTATCTGGAGTGGGTAAGCTGCCAAGGATCACACATATCGGACTGCTACGGGCTGCCTTGTGCCGTAAACTTGACGGCATTCTGCATGACATTCTGCATATGGCGGGCTATTTTTCTGGTGAGGAACATGGTGTCTACTTGCCACTCTTGGCGACTTGAATACATCCACTCTGGATGCATGTCCTTGCCCAGCATAGGTCTTACTGCATGGTTATGGTCTGACCCTGCCCTTGTTGGCTACTTCATGACTGTGCTCTGAATTGGTGGCCCCAGAGGTGCTTTTGACGGGAAATTGTAAACCAGCTTGCCTTGCTAGCTGTGTTACAGTTTCCTGACTGGCGCTGGATACTAAAAAGCAACTGAGACATGCAACTGACTTGTCCGTCAATGCGAATGTAACGAATCTGCTGAATAGTTCGTCCAAAGCAGGGAAGGGAAAGATGCACTCGAGCCAGAGAGGAAGAGACTGCTCATGTGAACATGAACGGAGAGCAAAGTTTTGGGCGAAGTCATGACGCTGGAGATGAGGATACTGTGTATAGTGTATAGTTGATCCAAGAGTCCTTCTGTGAGTGCGCTCTGTCAGACCGGCGTAAACGTTGATGGTCGTGTCTGATCGTTTAAGATGATCAGTTGAATGCAAAATCTACCGGAATGGGACTAGTGCAAGTACCGCTATTTCCCCATACATCCTCGCCTGTGGACATTGATGCCAGCCATGCGAGAGGGAAAAAAAACCTTAAACCCCTAAACCCTAAGAGAAGCAGCGGTTTGGGGAGGCTGGGCGTTGAAGGTTCCCGGCCAGAGAGCCCAAGACTCCTTAATTAGGGAATATAGCATAAATCATCATGTGAATCCCCTTATAAATTAAGATATGAATCCCTTATGAATTAAGATATGAATCCCCTTATAAATTAAGATATGAATCCCTTATAAATTAAGATATGAATCCCCTTATAAATTAAGATATGAATCCCCTTATAAATTAAGATATGAATCCCCTTATAAATTATGGTATATTCCTCAATTAAGGGGTATTGGGCTCTCTGGGCGGAATGTCTCAGCTGCCAGGCTGGAGGCTCTATGGAAGCTGAGCTCCCTCCTCGGCCCATTTTTTCCGACAATTAGGGGTACCTTATTTTGGTGTCGTCGTGATAGGGATCCTACTATTTAGCGTGCTATATTTCGGTCCCCTATATTTTCGGAAACTCCCAATAGGGTTTAAGGCTTGAGGTATAGGGTTTGGCTTCGGAGAGACCTCGTTCAAAAGGGCTGCGCCAAGCTTGCTGCCAAAAACAGGTTTAAACAGGTTTAGGGTGAAGGGGACGCCAGCTTTTGTGGCGGCATATCTGTATGCAAGCAGATCTCTGAAGTAGGGCCCCTTGTCGGGTCCCAGTACGGCACCCTTGTAAAAGTGACCCTAAAACGGACCCGAATTTAGAGAACTGCCCATGTGCTTTCGTAGATAGCGGGCAAAATACATGTGCTAGAACATGGGCATGTGTGCTAGCATCTAACAAGTCCATCGCTTCAAGACCAGCGCATGGCGGTTTGTTCGCGTTTCTTCTTTGCGGGAGTTCAGGGTTGGAAAGCCTACTGTCTGGTGCTTAGTAGGGAATCTTGGGAATGGATCCCTGTGGCCATCCCCAGATAATCCCCTATTGTAGTCCGCATAACCCATTCCCCCATTCCCTACGAAGAACCAGACAGCCTACTAAGAACCCAAAACCGATATAGTATAACCCTCATAGTAACCCTTACGCTTGCAGTAAAACCCTTAAAG